GCAAACAGACAATCAGCACCAACAGAACCACGACAAGCGCCAGCAGGTGGAGCAGTAGCAGACGACCAGCAAACAATGCGCGTAGAAGATGTTGAACAATCACCTCAAGCAGTAGATGACAATTTTTACGCAACACCAGTTCAACAAGCAACAGGAGCATCAAGTTCAACAGCCCAACAACCACCACCGTTGCCAATGACGCCATTATTTAAAACAACAATAGATAATACTATTAGTCCCGCTTACTGGAAAGACAACCCTAATTTAACAGTAAATGATATTAAATTTCAGTTTTATTTAAGAGGAATTCAAGTGCCAGAAGAAAGCGAAATACAGGAAGAATTGAAACACAAGGGCAGAGGCAAGGCGAGATCATACAAAGAATATTTAGTGGATATGATTTTAGACACTGTTGATAACGGCGGTTGGATAGCAAATTTGAGCAAAGGTAGAATAGAAGAACTCAAGGCAAGTTTTAAGGGTAAAGGTAAGAAATAAAAATATAAATAATAATAATAATAATGATAATATTAACTAAAAATATACTGAAAAGAAAGAAGCAGAAGTTCAATGATAATTATGATCACGACGACAGTTTTTCAATACATAACCTAACAAAACCAAACACAACAACAACAACACAACCACCGAAAATGATGAAAAAGGGCATACCGAGAGAATTTATTGACATTGCAACCAATACAGATACAATCGCCACAGAAACCAGAGAGACTCAAGAAAAGTTATACAATGATGCAAATCAGCAATTAAATATGACATTCGAAGCGTTTAAGGTAAAGGAAAACCAAGATAATATGTTTAAAATAATGCTTAAAAACTTTTGGCACAACACACACAAAAGACATGAGCCAACAAGAGCGCAAGCAACACAAACCCTGAAAAACCAACGCGATGCAATGGTGTCAGCCTTTACTAAAATGCTCGACAACAACAAACTACCAGAACCACCGCCAAAGACACCACCAGACGAGGAGGACAGCGACGAAGAAGAAAAAAGATTCAAACTGACAAAAATGATAGAAATAATGCTACACAACGGCGCTACAGTAGCAGATATAATATTAAACTTATCACATAGCGCAATTGCAACAACAATAAATATCGCAGATTTAGTTAATCAAATAACAGCAGGAAATGCACAAGGTAGCAGTAGCAATTCATCAAATGAAGCTATTAGTGTTCATAGTTCGCCACCTATTACTGTTCATAGTTCTTCATCTGAAAGTCCAACAGAAATACCAGCACCAACTGAAGACGAAGAAGAAGAAGACGGAGAAGAAAAACAAAAATATAATTTTGAAAAATTAAAATCTAAATAATATTATATATAATGGGTTCAAGTAAATCAAAACCAGTAGAAATTGATGATGAAGAGGCTATTAAAGTAATAAAAGATATAGATGTAAATACGATAAGTGAAATGTCAAGAATTGATATTCTACAAATAAATTCATTGAAAGCAATAATAAATAAATTAGAAAAGGTTAATGAATGTAAAAAAGATAAAACATATTATAAATTTCCTGCTTTAAATTTATGTAGCTATTCTTTATTCTAAATTGATAATATTAACATACATTAATATTATTAATTACTATCATAATCTGTCATTTCACTTTCGGGTAATTTTGTTGAGGCGTTGCTACACATATCATCTATTAAATCTTCTTCATCAACAAAATTATTTTGAAATCTTAATAATTCCTCGTCTGTTGGTCGTCTTTTTCACACTTTTTAAAGTTTATGTATCCAAGAATTAGTATGAAAATTGTAATTACCTCTACGATAAAATCCACCACATCTACATAGTTTCATTTGCATATTATTATATTATATTAAATTAGAATATCTTTATTCATCATTTGTAATTTGAAATGCCTGTTCAAAACGGAGAAAAAACATGTCATTCACATTCTTAGCATTCATATTCACGTAGAAGAAACTATAAGGTGCGTCATTCACTGCTTGATGATACATATCTAATAACTGCTGTTTGTCAACAATGGCGCTATTTTCTTCAATAAAACTCATTAATTCACTGGCATTTTTCAACCTAAAAATATATAATGAACTGGCATTTAAACGAATGATAGGCGCCAACACATTATATTTCTGTGTTGAACAAATTACGCTTACTGCATCGTGCCTACCTCTTGTAAATAATCCATGTAATAATTTACTATATCTAACAAATTTAGGATCGTCGGCATGATCGTCTATAACGATTAATATTGAATGTAGTTTCTTTATCTTTTTAGATTTCATATAATTAATTATTTTCTTCTGTCTTTCAATTACATTTTCTAAATCACTTGGATTATAATTATCAAAATAAATTTGTTCTTTTTCATCATCCACGTGCAATTCATCCCTGATATATTTTTTAACTTCTGTAAAGGTTGGGTCATTACGAACGCTGGGGGAAAATATAAATATTCTTGCAAATGAATTTCTATAAACATTTAAGATAAGGTTCTGAACCAAGACTGTTTTGCCACCTGTCGAACTCGCAACTATAATACTTCTAAATGGTAATTTTGGCACGTGCTCATATTTAGATTGTTTGAATTCATATTCAGTTATGTTTATTGGCTTTATTATTGGAACATCTGACATAATAAAATAATATTAAAGTTATTTAGAAAATATTTTATATTGATTATTTTATATGAATAGAAGCTATTCAGATTATATCAATATAATAGATGAAGTAGAGAATATAGAACAAGTTGTTATAACTGATAATAGATTTAAAAAATATGTTATTTTGTTTTAGAATTAATTAAGTTTGTGATACAATATATCAAAAATAAAAATGTAAATATTAATATAAATGGGAAGAAAGAAAAAGAATAAGACTGAACCAGTTGTTTCTTCATCAGTTGAAGAAAAAGAAGAAGTTGTTAAAGAAACATCAGTTATTGAGTTTGCTTGTCCAATGTGTAAAAAGATGTTAGAAATGAAAAATGAATTAGAAATACAAAAGAAAGGAAACTGTAAATGTTCGTGTATTCCGACAAGTTTCAAACTAAGTAAGAATGATAAGAAAATGAATATTGATAAAACTAAAGACAGTATCAACTTAGAAACAGATGTTCATAATATTGCTATACGCTTTGGGAGGGGAGTTACTCCATCCGATAATGGCGATAAGGAAACTCAGGAAACTGTTAAACAAATGATGAAAAATTAGTATTTAAAGAGTAGATTTAACATAATTTAAACATTTAGTTTTAAAAGTTTTATTTATAATATAATATATATATATATTTACATGGATGAAGGATTAGAAAAGATGGTTAAAAAACTGAACAAGGTTTTAGAACAGAATAAGAATATTTTAGAAATCTTGCAAGAAATAGAAAAGAAGAAACCATTAACAAACAATTATCAAAGTAAGGAAGTAGATCGAACCAATGGTGAATATAAAAATAACAGAAACATCTATTTAAACAAACTTAATAACAAAGAAATTAAAGAACCGAAGGCTTCAACTATGACATTTTATCAAATCGACTATGATGAAGATACAGGATTTATTCTTGATTGAAAACATTTTCTCTGTTTCCCTGAAAAAGTGCTTAAAGAAATATTACCTTAATATATTAAGTGAAGTATGCGCGACATTAATAATCTACCTTTGGAAATTAGACTGAATATTATGTCATATCACTGTTATGATATATGTCCTTACAGGTTTAATGATATTCTTAAAAACCATTTTCCAACTTGGGAAAGAGTAAAAAGAAACCCATTCTGGGCAATGACTTTAACTGAAGCATTGGATGATACCAAATCTGATTATGAAGTATATTTAGAATTGAAAGCGTTCTATAATTATTCCTACATATATGATATTGAAAATAAATTTAAACAGCTCTGGTTCATTGATAGTATTGATGACAAAAGAAAACACTTGAGAATTGGTTATTACGACGCAATGAGAGCACTGTTGGAAATGATGCCATTCAGAACAGAGGCAGAGTGGCATATCCGATTTTATCATATATTAAGCACGGAAGACTTCTATGACGAGGATGAAGAATTTAGCGATAATGAAAGCACGGCTAGCTATTATTGAGATGAATGTTTCAGTTCTTGATTATACTATAGTTACAACATATAAGATCTTATATGTTGTAATTTTAGTTTAATTTTCCCGTATAAGCCGTGGGGGTGCTTTCCTACATAGGCCTTTCCCATCCGCATTTTGCCATCCATATTTTACTGGGATTGTTTTCAAGATTTGGGTTAACGGTTTTAATTCTCCCTTTTCCATTGGTTAACCATTTTTCGGGGAGTGATAGTCGACAATGTGTTATTTGGATGGGAAAGGTTGGGTTTATTCATTTTTTAGGTATGTAATCTTGAAAGATCATGTAAGGACATGTATTCATAGCATAATATGGAGAACTCAGAGTGTAGCAGTTGTAGAGTCAATAAACCAATTACTGAATTTAACGGGTTCAAGACATGTAACAAATGTAGAGCGAAGAAGCGAGAGAGGACAGCGAATAATGGATATTTGTATTGTCATGTTTGTGAAAGAAGAGTGAACCCAGAGATTTGGGATTTCCATTTGGTTGGAGGTTGTCACCAAGATAATATGCTCAAACATCTCAAAGCAGATTATCAGAGATTAGTTGAAGACGCACCTACACAAGAATTCAAGGACAAATTGTTTCAAGAAGGTCAAGAGAGGATACAAGAACTCAAAATGACAATGCCTTTGTATAATCCAGCTTTGAGAAGAAAGAAAGTTGATCAGGTTGATGGTGAATTGGACTAAAACATGAAGTTGATCATTAGAATATTATGTTTCTAATGATTAACTTAGAGGGTTGCTCAATTTGGTGGTTTTGAATGGTGTAATTTGATAGGTGTATTTAAAAAGTGCTTGAAAGTGTGGGGGGGGGGGTAGGACAATGCGGACGGGAGAGGCCATCTCTAACTCAGGGGGGGGGGGCCAAAACCGTGAGGTTCCGCAAAGCCAGCAGCGAGCAGCGCCGCAGCGCTCTGCGGGAAGTGCTGGGCCTGGAGCCGCAGGCGGGGGAAGCGACTGCGGAAGTCTTCTTGTGGGACTTGGAAGGGGAAAGGCTCGACGGATGCATAGCTTGTCGGAAGGGAGCCAGGGAGCTGGGGGAATCTAAAGTCTAAACGTGCTTTAGAGACGGAGCTAAGCAGCCGGGAGTCCTGCAAGGACGTGGTAGCATGCGCCCTTTGTGAAGTTGTGAAGTTGCCGTAGCCCAGTGAGTACTTCACAGCTCCGTTGCGGATCGCCAGAGTGAAAGTAGGTTCTGGCGCTCTTGATGTCGCAGGATATGTCGTAGGACAACATCTGGAGAAGGTTGTGCCATCTTTCATCCAACTGTTGCTTCGGTCCGGCTGCTTTCGGCCGCATCCACTCCGCTTGCCAGGCTGAGCAGGCGGGGCCTGGGCTCGGCTATACGACAGGCTCACCATGTGCTGCGAAAACGAAGCAGGGCAGCAAGCAATGCGTTGCCCAGTGCAGTTACTGCGAAAAGTGCTCCAGAAGCCGCATAAAGCGCAAAAAAAATGCACAGCGCCAGATGGCTGGTGAGTTCTCAATGACTCTTCAAACCTGCCGGCACAGTTCCGGGTCCCGCGCCAGGAGCATGGCCTCACGAGCCCAGAGGCCGGGGATCCGGAGCCCCGGTTCGGGGGTTCGGAGCCAAGCCCGAAATCGGAAAGCGGCGGGTCCCATGGAACAGGACTCACTCGAGTGGATCCCTCTGAAAGTGGGCTGGGTGCTGAGATTTGACGTTCTATCGGGGCTTTGTTCGAGATGCCGCGTAAGAAGCATGCTTTCAACCACAGACAGGTCATTGTCCTGCCAGGAATTGAGCAATCAGCTGGCCCGAAGTGAAGAGGAGCCTGTCAACTCGTTGTGCACGTGAGATACCGCCCTGCCCAAAATATCAGTATCACACACGCACGGTGCTAGGGACTATTGTAATTCATGAACGTGGGCTGGGGCAGGAAGTTGTCTTGATTGACCTTGCTTTCAAGCGAATGGGTGTGTGTGCTTCTTTCAGGGGTATCCTCTTCTTTCATCTGGCCATGGGTCAAAAGCCCAATCCCCACTAAAATAGACTAAAATCTGGCCATTTTGGGGGCCAGGAGCAGAAGGCCTTCAGGAGCATGGACGCTGCTCTTGGGGTGCAGGCCGGACAATGACCCGCAGTCGCATCGCCTATGGACGAAGTCTGTTTCGCACCACCTAAGAAGCCCTGGAATGGCGATTCCCCTGTAAATACCAACCAACAACAGTTTCGCATGGTTTCAAAGTGGTGCAGGATTTCGTCCATCCACGATGCGCGCCTTTATTGATGTGTTTTTTCTTTTTTTCTGCCAGGGTGCTGATGGATTAATTCGGTGCAATCGCTTGATGAGGGAGGATGAGGCAGGGTCCTGTCCCCCTCATGGAAGTGACGTGCATTCTGCCGCCTTCGGGAGGTGCCGCAAGGGCCCGGAGCTCAGCTCGGGTGAATTGGCATCGAACACCCGGAGGTTTGGACCGGCAGTGAGTTGGAATTTCCCAAGTGGAACCTGCCCCCGTTGGCCCGCTTTTGGCAAGGCCAAAGGCTTGGGTATCTTGATTTGGCCCAGGTTTGCTAGCAGGAGCATCTGAACTCGCCAGAGGAAGGATGTCACTTTGGTCTCAGCGGAACCTGCCGGTGGAAGAACCAGAACGCAAGTGCATGGACGTTGAGCAGGTGGGTTTGTTTCCCCTGGGTGTCCTTTACAATCCGGAAACGGTTACCCTCAAAAAAGACAGGCGCAGGTAGGTCCGCTGAGGTGACGAATAGTTTTTTACTTTGCTCAGGATGTGGGTAGCTTGACGTCTGCTGCCAGTTCGCAGTATCACGGAAGAGCTTCCAGTCAGAACGAATGAGAAGCAACATGCCAAAGGAGATAACAAGCATGTTAAAGCAGAGCACATGCATTGCATCAATGAAGATGCACGCGGTCTTATCAGTTTTCTGGCCTTCTTCCGTGTGAATTAGCCAACCTGGACCAACTTATCATGTTCGGCATAGCTCTTCACGCTCAATGCGACATGACAGCCCATTTTACCAAGCTCAATTTTCCAGGACATGCTTTAGCTGAAAGGCCCAGGACAACATGTGTTCCATGCATCCGGTGACTGCTTTTCCTCGGGCCCGTTTTTTGGTCACTCTCAGACACTGAAGCATGTCAACAACGCAAGTCCTCCCAACAACGTGCTCTTGGCTGTTCCTCCAAGAGAACCCCCGAACTCCTTGTCTACCTGGCCCACCCATGATATGGGTGTTCTACGCAGACGGAAATCTTTCTTTTTTTTCTTCCGGTATCGGCTGGCACAGACTTTGCATTTGCTTGGGCGTGCTCGGAGCTGAACTTGACCAGCAATCACAACCTTATATGAACGTTTGTTAGGGGTTTCAACCGTAAAGAGGTGCGGCTGTCTGAACTCAAACACCATGGTTTTGATTGCGACTCACTTGACCCCCTGCAATAAAACAGGACAAAGTCAGTCAGCTTGTTGAGCTCCGTGCGCGATAATTTGTGCAAAGCTGTAGGGCGTCCGCCGAGAGTGGGAAGCCGCTCGAGGGGAAAATTGGGGCTGGTAGATGGTGAGCATTCGACGGAGTCTTGCAGCGCTGGGGTTTGGAGGGCTCTGGGTTGATGCCCGGGCCGTGGCCGTGCTGGCTTGCACTGCGAAGTCTCACCAACCAAGATTCATGAAGTGGCACGAGATCCCGCGTACCAGTGCAGTGGAGCCAAAGTTTGTTCTTTTGGACGGGCTACATGAACAAGCACACTGCAAACTGCTACTTTGCCAGAACAAAACTCCCTCCCTCGCAGCCTCCCAGCACTTGCAATGACGGAGAGTTTGCCTGAAGAGGCTATGGGGATTGCAGCGAGTGAAGCCCCTCGGCCGGCTTGGGTTGGTAGGCGTCGCAGCGAATTATCCCGCCGAGGATGCGGAGCAAAGCGCTGGCGAAGCTCATAATCGCAGCTTCACAGTGGTGCTCATGTCAGGCCGCCAGCAGGACGCAAGGGCTGTTTTGCTGTTTGACATTCACATGAGAGATGAAGCAGGCTTTTTTTTTTAGAAAAATGCGGGCTCGATTATTCGCCATGGTCACTGGTTTGTCCATGAAACTCATGACAGCTGGTTTGCTTTTCAAGTGTGTGTGTGTGTGACGAGATTCAGGTTCGGTGAAAGCTCACCACTCGGAAAGCACCTTTTAAGTTCTGGTGGCACAGGGTTCCCGATGAACAAAGGCAGCAGAAAGTTACTGCACACCCTCTCAAAAATGGTTGGTGGACGCAACCCCCCTGTAAAATGATGTCCACCAAAAGCGTCCCAATCAAGATTCACCCCCTTTGGTTTTGTCTTTCTTCTAGTGTGGGGGGGGGAATCCTTGCATTGCCAAGGCTGCCATGCATAGACACCAGCCACGTGGAATTCTTCGGGAAATTCGAGGATTTCGGGCCTTGTCCTCAAGTTTCCTGCTAGTTTCTTAGACAACTTCAATTTCGTTCGCCTTTTATATAGATATGTATACACGCTGTTTGGCATCTCGGGTGGTCTGGAAATCTGACGGCAAGGAGGTGTCGTGTAGCAACCTGGCCGACGTGGCCTCCCTGGAAGAGCGGCTGGCGCGGGAGTTCGGGTTGAAGACCTCCCAGGCATGTCCCGCCAGGAATGCGCCGCTTGCTTTTCCACGGTGGTGTTTGTTTTGTTGGTCTTTTTCCCCTAGTTGTGTAGTGCTAACCTATAGTTTCTTGTACGAAAAAGGCGTGCATTCACGTGGTTCTTAACTAAATCGGAAACTTTGGGAAGGTCGCACCCTTTTTGAACCCGCTGCAGCGCTGTGAGGCGTGTCGTCTACTAGATGCAGAGGGCAACCCCTTGTCCAGCAGCACGCGAATAAAGGAGAGTTTCCCATGCGGTGCAGGGCACAGGGGCAGGGTCCTGGGCGCTTGTCGAGCTTCTTGCTCTCATGTCGAGCTGAGGAGATCTGGTGCGACCAGCTGATGGCTATTGTTTTTACAAGCTTCCGCTTTAACCGCACCCGGCCGGAGAACTTTACTACCCTCTCTGTGTCCAACTTCGGCAACATGAGCCTTGTTTGCCCAGTAGACTTTTGTCGGGTTTGCTTCTTCACTTTGATTCGAGGCTTGATCCCTTCGGCGCCCCCCACAGCAACAATATGCGCATTCACGTCTATACACGACAATAAGAGAAACCACCGATGGCTTTGGACAGCAATCTGAGAACGCAAGCAAGGCTTTTTCCGAAATTTTTGCAGTTACAGGTCCGACAAGTACATGACGGTGTCTGAAGATGGGCGTGTGGCTTGCAACGAGAAGCAGGACTGTGTGTGTGGGTGTTTGTGTGTGTATGTGGGGGTGTCTCTGTATGTGGGGGTGTCTCGGTGTGTGTGTGTGTGTGTGTGTCTCGGTGTGTGTGTGTGTGTGTGTGCGTGTGCGTGTGCGTGTGCGTGTGCGTGTGCGTGTGCGTGTGCGTGTGCGTGTGCGTGTGCGTTTGCATGTGCGTGTGCGTGTGCTTGTGCGTGTGCGTGTGCGTGTGCGTGTGCGTGTGTGTGTGTGTGGGCGGGTGTGTGTGTGTTTGTGGGCGGGTGGGTGTGCGTGCGTGCATATGCGCGCGTGCGCGAGTGTATGGGTGTTTGGGCAAGTGTATATTATGTATAGACACACATATACACATTTTCCTATATATATATATATTTATATTTGGTACCCCCGGGACCCACACCAAGCAAGAAAAAGCTAAACCCAGTGGGAATTCCTCCAGAAGAGCAGAACAAACAACATGGGTCCTCCAGAAGAAGGGGGGCGGGTACACGCATCAATACAAATAAATGGATGGTCGAACTCATTGTAAAGAAGTAACTAAGTGAAATCAAAAGATATTTATGTGGATAAACAAAAAGCAAACACATGTGAAGATATACACACCTACACAGTCTTAAAACGTGCGGCGTTACATCAGACCCTAATGATTTACCTTGGCATGGCGTGCGTGTGTGTGTGTGTGTGCGTGTGTGTGTGTGTGTGGGTGTGGGTGTGGGTGTGGGTGTGCGTGTGCGTGTGCGTGTGCGTGTGCGTGTGCTTGTGCGTGTGCGTGTGCGTGTGCGTGCGCATGTGAGTGTGGGTGTGGGTGTGGGTGTGGGTGTGGGTGTTATATATATATATATATTTGGTACCCCCGGGACCCACACCAAGCAAGAAAAAGCGAAACCCAGTGGGAATTGCTAGCCAACAAATCAGAACAACCAGAAGAGCAGAGCAAACAACATAAATAAATGGATGGTCAAACGCATTGTAAAAAATAACTAACTGAAATCAAAGGATAAATATGTGGGTAAACAAAAAGCAAACACATGTGAATATATACACACCCACACGGTCTTAACTCGTGCGACGCTACATTAGACCCTAATGATTCAATCCCCTCAAGAAGGGTGGGGAAGGCATTTTGCCTCAAAGCTGCGCGCCTTGGAAGGAGGATGGCAGAGTCGAGTTCACCTCGTGCGTCAGCCCCGACCAATTGCCCGTGAAGCTCCGAATCTTGATGCCGGACAGTAGCGGCTATTCGCATTACTTCTACGTTCCTCGGCTCATAGAAGCCTTCCCCCCCAGCGTTGGATCGTGTTGGCCAAGGTGTACGCAGGATCCCACAACGCGGCCGTGGAAGCCAACCAGGAGGGCGAGTATTCGGTGACCGTCTCCAAAGACTCGCTGGCAGCACAAAGAGGCAGCGGCGCAGAGCCTACGTCATCGTGACCTGGCAAGAAGGCCCAGAAAGTCACATGGACGGAGCCAAAAAGGGCCCCCAGTTGTTGTCTTGGCGCAGGGCAAAGCTTGGTTTTAGTGCTGGCTCAGGCCACTTCCGCCAGAAATGCAGGACCTGCCATTGCACCTTGGCATCTACCTTTACTCGAAGGGCAGCGCCATGCTCGTCGCACAGGAGGGTCTGTAGCTGCAAAAAAGCAGCATCGGAGCCTATGCTTGCATTTCTGGTTGGCAGTGCATGTGCGCTCAAAAGCATCAGTGTGGCCCAAGGCTTTTTGACCGGCAGAAAGAAGGCAACACACGACAGTTCTTGTGTCGGGTGTGTCTTGGAATGGGGATCACCAAGCTGGTGGTTTTCACTTTGGACTCCCTTCCAAAAACTACCCCAACAAAATATCCCTCAAAGGACAAACCACCACTTGGCCTTGGCCGATTTGGCCGCTCCGATCCGATCCGCGCCGTCGGAGCTGCGTGGGAATCGCTTGCGCCATGGCTGATGGCATGGACTCGGGAGCGGCGGCTGCGAGCAACTCGCCGCAAAGTCTTCGGTGCTTTCGGTGGCGTGGAGCGACCTGCGACGCTGCGGCAGTTCTTTTGGAAGGAACCGGGCTTGAGCCCCTGCAAAGTTCAATGGCGAAGAGTGTTCCAAGTGCCTGTAGCAGCATCTTGCGTGGGGAGGCACATTTTCAGACCCGAGGCCGCAGCGGCTCGTGTGGTACAATATGGCAAGGCCTGGAGCCACGTTTGGCTGTTTGCGATGCCGTTACTTGCAAGTGCGCGTGGTTTTTGGGACGTTTGAACTACGCAATGGTGGGAAGTGGCAACCTGATACTTTCACTACGCTCTGCTCTTTCGGGATACATCCCCATTTCGAAGCCTTGCTTGTGCAGGCCAAAGAGTGGGCAGCTGCCCTGTCTCTGCTGGCTTCAGTGAAGGAGGGGCAGCTTTTGATCTTCTTCGGACTGGGTGAAGAGGTCATATCCCACAAAGGGCCTCCTGCATGTGAGAAGCTGACGTGATGATCTGGAAACTGTTGGCAAGCTCTGTTCCGGATAGATGTTCAGAGTCCAAAACTTCAGCAGAAGCGATGAGCAAGTTAACCGAGGACCAGCTTGGACCGCAGTGTGCTGATGTTGGCTGGCTATTTGGTGCAACCCAGCCCCATGGTTCTCCAATTGGTTAGACCGAACTCTCTTGGGCTCAAACTTTCAGAGCCCCACCAACCACTCTAAAACAAAATCCCTCCCCCTCTTACCTGCCTTTTGCTTCCAAGTCTTGGGGTTCATCCCTTACAACCTGGCTGTTTCCCTCCCCACCTCTCCCCACCTCTCCCCCCTCCGTCCCTCCGTCCCTCCGTCCCCCCGTCCCGCCGTCCCCCCGTCCCGCCGTCCCCTCCCTCCGACGCCGTCGGCCAGGCGCCGGACCGGGGTCTGCTGGGGGCGGCGCTGGTGGCCTGCGAGCGAAGCGCGGCCTGGCGCGCCGCCGCGCGGCTGCTGGGCGACGCTGCCAGGCGCCGTGGGAATGACCGCCAGGAGAAAAGAAATGACCGGAAACCAGCAGTCAAAATGGAATGTCTACCTCTTTATAAAGTACCCCCCCCCCCAAACAACTTCCCTCCCCAAATAGTGCCGGCCCGCAACATAGCTTTAATTGGGGGGGGCTATTTCATCATAGGTCGACATTCTCTCGGGGTCATTCCAACTCATTCCCTGAGCACCAGCAAGTTTTGGTGGGTTTACATTGAAAAATCGAGGGCGCCTGGCTTACCTGGTGGTTCAATCATCCAGGGCCGTCTATTTTCCACTAAATTGGACACCTATGCGCCCCAAGGAGTGTCAACAAACAACCAACGACAACGGCAACAACAGGGTGGTTATGCTTGCTTTGGACTCCAGGCGGCGCTTGCCGTGCGATGCCGTGGCCTACGGCACGGTGGCCATGGCCTGCGCCCTGCGGCAGAATTGGCGAAGTGCAGTATGTCTGCTTTTTTTCTGCTTTTTTGCTTTCTTCTTTGGGACGCCATGCCAGCATAGCCCAGCAAACTCGAGGGTGTTTGGCCAACCGCACAAGGAGCGGACCTCTCACTGGCGTCGGAGCTCACGGCTGCTGGCGGGCTTAGCGCCAGAACACCTGGTGCCGGCGCAGAGCTCAGCCTTCCGTTGCGCTCAGAGCTGGGGATGCTTTCCTGGCCTCTCAATCGCGCGGAATAACTATATGGGTCGGTATTTTTGGGTGCCCTTTTTGGCTGGTTTAAGGGAGTTTCCAAAAATGTGACACCCAAAATCCGGTGAATCTTCCACCAGGAATGGGGTAGGTTTGCTTCCCCCCCTTCGGCCGCAAGCTGAAGGCCTTCAACACTGCCATGCAGGGCTGCAGCTGGCGCCGGGCCCAGGAGCTTCTCTGGCAGCTGGCGCGCCAGACGCCGCCGGACGGGGCCGGGGCGGGTGACGGCTTTCAAGCGGTCTGGTGCCAGAGACGCGGGGAATGCGTTGGAATGTCCCCGAGAAACGCCGTCCAGGTGGGTTCCTTTTAGACCGCTGTCCTTCATGGACCCCAGCTCAGCGGAGCCGGCGGCAAGGAATTGCGTTGGGGTGACAAAACTGAAGCCTGATGCAAAATCTGGTCGTCCTCCTTCCCTTGGTGACATTGGTGATGTGGGTGAGGAAGGGAGGGCCATATTTGTATTGTCTTGAGAGATGGCAGGATGTCATCTCCTACAACACTGTGATCAGCAGCTGCGCCAGTGCGCATCAGTGCCTTGGAAGAGTTCGGTGCACTTCTTGCCCTTTTGCAGATGATGCGCGATTTGGTTTGTGGTGTTTCCAAGCGTATCTCATCCGCCGTTCCTTCAGCTTGAATTTGATGGATTGGTGACGCTTTTGCTGGGCCAGCTTGAAATCTTGCTAGCATTGCTGCTTGCCTTGTTCTCAAGCAAGGTGTTGTCCACACAGACCTGCTCCCGCTTTCCTGTTGCCAACGACTTTCACAGACCCCGCTCCATCAACAACGACATCCCCAGCTCCAACGTCATACCCCACACTGACGTTTTGAGTTGATCCTTTCAGTTTCGCCCCTCAATCACGCAATTGCGTTCCCAAAGGACCGCGGGATTCCCTTTCCCCTTGAAAGCAGCCACAAGGGGTCCAAGCTGAAACTAAATTATGCAGAGGAATGATCAAGCTTACCCTCCCACCAAGTAACATGGAATCTGATGGGGGGGGGGGGGGAAAGGGGGGTCGTCTTGGTTTGGACCATTTTCCTTTTAACGGGACCGGGTCCCGAGCGTCAGGTTCCAGGTTAACCGGGAGCATCGCCCAGGTGGCAGTTGGCCCTGCTCCACTTCCGGCGCTTGCTCCGACAGGGGCCGCGACCTAGCGCTGCCGCGAGCTCAGGTCTGGTTTTTGTTGCTGAACCAGCTTGATTCCTCCAACTTCTGCACATGCCCGCACCAAGCCTGAACCTGCCCTAAATGAGCCGTAGCCCGGCCTAAATCGTCAACCCTAAGCCCTGACCTCGCCCTGCTGTTGCTTTCCGTCCACGCTAAGCCACTTACACTAATCATCCTACCCTAGTCCATCCTCACTTGTGCCTAAACCAACTCGCTGGCTCGCCCAAAACCGACCCTGAACCAAGCCAAAGCCGGCAGAGAACCAACCCGGAGCCAAGCGAAGAGCTGCCCAGACAACCACACCAAAACCCTACACTTCCTCCTGCGCCATCTCTAAACCTCGAGGTCACACCTAAATCAGCCTCAATCCGAAGTCTAGGCCAAGCCCAAAGCCACCAACCGAACGCCCGAACCTGAATTCCACAAGAAGCCAACCGCAAACTCTAAGTCAACCCCAAACCAACCCTAGCCGTAAGTCCATCCTAAACCCTAAGCCCTAAACACCTAACTCCCCTATGCAAACCTGCCGACAGCCCGAAGCCAACCCCAAACAAACGCCAAACGCTCTAAACAAGCCCCAACCTGAATTCACAAGGCAACAGCGTAACCAAGGGCATTCCGCATTTTCTTGCTACAAGACGGAAAACACAACAGGAAAATCCTAGAATTACACAGAACAAATCCTCAAATGTGAGGCGCTCTTCATTTCATGGGGTTTGCAAACCGTCCCAACCTGCTGGTTTCCTGTGAACACACGGGGGTTGAGCGATATTCCCTTCGGCCCCCAAATGACCATGGGCAACTTTTCCCATGTGGTTGACATATGAAATCATTTGGGCGGTTTTCCAACCAATGATCAATCTTTGGTGCATTTTGCTTGGATTTTAGGACTTCAACTTTTTGCCAACTAATTAATGGTTTTTCCATTAGCACACTAAAAGTTAAACTTTTAGCAGGGGAGCAGAAAGCAACCGAGCAATGGTCATACCACGTTCGCAGGACCTTTTGATCAACGTCCAAGGTCTCCTTCAGCTCCGCCATTGCTGCGTGCAGCAAAGGCGCGCCGAGTTTCGGGTCCCGAAGACAAGGAGTCCGTGAGTTTCAATGGAGACACTCCCAAATGGGGTGTGTCTTCTTTTAGGAATTAGACCCCCGAAAGAATCGAAAGAATCGAAAGAATGGATGTGGGGGTTCATGTTGGTTTCCCTCCACGAAAAAAGGGGTACCGAGCCTCAAAAGAAGACAGACCCAACTGGTTGGTCCCACTGCCAGGGGCGCAGTGGGTGCAGGCCTTTGCCCTGTTGCAGCAGTCGGAGGCCAAAAACCTGCCGGGGACCCCGAGATTTGCGGGCACCCGTTTGATGGGTCTTGAAAGGGGAAGCCGGGAAACCTTAAAAGGACACCCGCCATTGTCCGGGCCAACCTTTGAGACAACGAGTGGGTTTCAACGTGGGATACCACGCAAAGGAATGACACTGACAACATGTGCCGAGCAACATCTGGTGCAGAGTAGCTTTCGCAGTGAGAGTCGCCATGGATCCTCACCTTAGGCTGAACGACATCACTTTGGCCACGCCGGGCTCTCGATTCATCGCGAGGGAATTGGTGACGTGTCCTGAGAACTGGAGAGGGGCATCGCAGACCAATTGAGCAGGGTTCAAAACCTGTTTGCCCCGCAATTGAAGGGGTGGTGGTGGTGGTGGTGGCCACAATAAGGGCCTCGCGTAAGGACAACATGTTGGCGTAAGGCCGCGTAAGCGTCTTGCGTAAGCACAGTGGCATGTGTGAGCGCGCAAGCCATTCCTAGGCAGCGCGCAAGAGTTTCCTGCGACCTCCATGTGAACAATTTGCCACTTTGAACGCCGCTCAATTGGGGAACATAAGAAGCATGTTTGAGATGATCAAAGGACACTCCACAGAACTATTGATGAGACATGGGTACCAGATTGTTGGGCTATGTCTGTGCCCCGCTACTGGTACCTGGTACTTGCACAGGTGCCTGAGTGCGTGTGTGCGAGCGCCGGTCGCCTGGATTTTGCGGTGACAGCGCCGAGCCTGTGTGGGTTGTCAACAAGCAGGCCTTTTTTGGAACCGCTGCGTCATTTTGTGCCGCCTTCTGACAAAAATTCCAGGTGTTGCAACACTTCGAGTATGTGCTGGTGTCAAATATCATGATTCCTGGAAGAGAGGGAGGGGGCGGTGGCATGAGCAGGGATGATCATCGACACAAAAACCATCGTAAAGGATTCGTGCTTCGATTGGCAGCTGGCGCTAAGTCGGCAATGGCAACATGCTGCACGCCTTCTGCAGAAACAGAGCAGGCCGCGCAGCTGTGATTCTGTGGCGTTGCTTGAGTCCTAACTTTGAGAGTTGCAAGACCTCTCTGCGGGGTCTTGCGGGGGATTGGCCTTCCGCTTCGTCATGAACCTGTTTTCCACCAAACTAAGACTCCCATTATTTCGAGTTTCGCTGATTTCTCTTGGAGTAAAATTCTCTTCGGGGCTTTCCGCTGCTTTTGGTGCTTTTCTTGGCTTTCCAAGGCTTTCTGTGTCTGTGTCCCCAGCTGAAAGCTAGGTCTTTGCTCAGATCCGGGGTCCCCGGTCGCTGGCGCGCCGGGTTTGCTTCAAAAACCGCTTTAACTATAAAGCAGAGCCGGGCCATTTCCCTGCCACGCGAGCGAGACTGCAAATTGATACGCAGGCAAGGCAGTGGCAGGGGCTTGTGATTCTACTGCTCAAGCTCGAGCGAAACACTTGGGTTTTGGCCGAAATCAAGCCAACCCTCAACCCGTCCAAAGCCCACCCCACATCCATCCTGAGCTTACCCCTAAGCCAGACAAACAATCCAGCCCAATCCCAATGCAAGTCGGGCCCGAAACCAGCTGATTTGCCGACAAATGCTGCAAAACAGCATTTTCAACACACAACAAGAACGCGGGATAACTAACAAGTAAACACTTTGCTCCCATCTACACCAGGCAGCATCAACCGATGCAGACTTGGCTACAGATCTTCCCCGTGCCAGGCAAGCGCCCGGCTCCGTGCTTCTTCCTGTAATGCAGGGCCTGGCTGCAAGCAGCAACTGGCAGGAGGCCATTTGGGAAGTCGATGTGTTTATTCTCTCTTATGAGGAGAGTGCAAGGGCTTCGCAATGAATGGAAGGCCTGCTGCGAATCCCAAGATGATGTATCCAGAATCTGCGGTCGCATTTGAGGCATTGCAAGGGTTACTGTAGATATACTGCATTCATGCCTTCCTCAAAGAGGGTATCCTGCGGAACCGGTGCACCTGGCTTCCCGAAGTCCTCAACTTAGAGGTTTGAGCCTTCACGCTCCGAAATCTGAAGCATCCTAAACTGTCGAAACGCCCTTGCTTCAACCTCTCGAACTCTACCGTATAAACACTATATAAATGAAAGCATGTCGCACGGGGAGGCACTGCACCTACAGCGCCAGAGTACTTCGGCGGAGGCATCGGGCGAAGGCATTTGGGTTGAGCACCAAAGCAGGCAAACAATGCAGGCTAGACCCCTTTATTGAACTGTGCGCTGTCAATGCAAGTCCAATCATCTAACTGACAATGGGCCAACCAAGCTTGGCCACGCTCCTACTTTTGGCCGTGAAACCTGAGCAACCCGCATTGGTTCCCTCAATATTCGCTCGTTCTGTCACCAGTCTTCTTTTGCTCCTCCACAATCGTTGTGACAAATTGCAACTCATCGCTGAAGGTCAGAAATGTTCAGGTCATCTCGACCTCCAAATGCGCGGTATGACCAGGGGCAGGGGTAATGTCTCCATGGGCAAACTGGCCAGATGCTCTTGACTGACTTAACGTGAGGTTTCAGGGGAGAGCCGCGCAAGTGCGCTCATTCAAATTGCCGCCTCAACTATCTCAGCAAGATGCCTCAATTCACAGGGCGGAAGGGGCACTCCGTTGAATTCAAGTCAGATATGCCCTCCATGTCGCCCATGCCTCACCACCTTTGGTGCATGCAGAACAAGCACGGCTCCGTGACTCAAGTTCTGCGGCGGAGAGGCCAGCTGCGCAGCGCTGGTTGCCTGCGCCGCAGTGGGCCTTTGGAGGCGGGCGATTCCCAGCAGTTGCTCGAGCCACGTGCCGGGTTTTGGCTCGTGCTCTCGGCAGGTTGGCCATCGCCCTTTTGGATGAGCCACCCCGGCGCAGATTGGAGCCGTTTGAATGGCCTTGAGGCGCTAGGAAGTCATCTCATCAATCCAGAAGAACAACTATAATTTGGTGTGGTCGATTTTTTGATTCTTCACGTGGCGTTCGGTAGACTCCTTTTATAGCAGGTTTGATTACGACTCATGAAGGGGATGGATGTCCTTACGCAGGATGAGAGGTCGACAGCTGCAAGTACAGCTGCCGGCCAGAAGCTCAGTCCCAACATAGAGCCCTTTTGAGATCCACATGTCATGAGGGTTCCCGCAAACCCCTTCAACCCTCGACTCAATGCTCCTCTCCAAGATGGTCTTTGTTGTGGTCACTGGGAAAAGGCGAGGAGCAAATGCACTCGTTGGGCGAGGTGTGCCTTAATCCTCAGACATTCGCAGGCTTTGGGGTTGGGGTGTGCAGCCAAGATGTTGCGATTTCACTCCAAAGACTTTCAAATGGCTCAGCTTGGTGATTGCACCTTGCTTGGCAGTCGGGGCCCAAGGGCCGATTCACTGTCCCACTCGTTTCGAGCCTTTCAAGATCGGACCGGGGGATCGATCCACCTTGAGTTTCTTCGCCTGGTCCCCTGAGCTCCGGGGGAGAAATTTGTGGAAGCCATCTATCCGTGAAAGCAAAGTGACAGAGAGGAAAACAGCCCCCAGATTGTTCTCAGGCCAAATCGCGAGCAAGACTTGGCGAAAAGCAAGTTTGCTCAACAAGCTTCAGGGGCAATTCTCCTCCTGAGGCTTGGCATGCCATGCAGGGTGCACTTTCACGGGCTGGACGCTGGCGCGAGGAGCGAGCTTAGCGGACACTTGTTCGGTTGGTTTGCCAGGCAACCTGTGCGGCGTGCGGAGTGTATTGTGGCAGGTGCTTGAAAAGCACAGAAACTGTGCGTCCCATTCCCTTGTGTCCATAAGCAAAGCAGTACCGAAGCAGAGACTCCTTCTCGGGTCAATTGCAACCTTTTGCTGTCGGCTTTGTGTGGCAGGCCTGCTTACTTCTCTACTTGCCTGAGGCACGTGCTGATGGTTGATTTCTCACGGTTCATGGATTGCCGCAGTTCAGGATGTGCATTCCGGCTGCAGGTGGATGCTGATGTGACGAACTTTCTGACAGCTGTAGCTGCGTGCGAAGGAGGCTTTGGACGTTGTGTATGTGTAATTTGGAGAGAATGCGCAGTTCCATGTAAACGCAGTTTATGTCATGTGGCTTCTTTGTCTGCACACTCTTGAAAGTCAAAGGTCGCTGTTCAGGTGCTGCTTTTCGTGCATGAGCCGGCCTTCAGGCGGGCGCCCTGGACAACTGCTGGCAACCCTTCCAGGGCTACGGCGTCCCTTACTCAGCGCAGCATGTTGCACTGTAGCCAATGGAGGCGCCGCAAAGTTGTGCAGTCTGCTGAAGCCGTTGGTAGGGCAGTTTTTGGATCACGTCTTTGTGTCAGTCAGCGTAGGCCAAGCATTGTCAGCACTTCTGTGGAGACAAGGCTCGGTGTGCTTGCACTGGTGCTGGTAGAAGTGGAGCAGCTGAGGGGGAGGAAAAGAAAGGGAGGGAGAGAAGGGAGGAGAGAAGGGGATTCCAGTCAAAGGATGTAGAAGGGACAAGGGCAAGTGGCGGAAGGGGTCAGTTGCCTCGTGCTCCATTTTTGAGCAGGCCTGGCAAGCCCTCCCAGCGACCTGCCGTGGCTTGGCCAAGAAACTCTGAGAAATGGGGGAAGAATGCGAGGCCCGGCTGACCGTTTGACCGTCTCATTTTCTGACCCGTCTGACCGTCTGACCTTCGTCCTGATGGGTCCACTCTGGCCCGAGGTTCATTGGGCTGGCGGTCGACCTCCTCCGTGCAGCCTGCTTGCTTGTTGCACGCCCAATGTGCATGTACATAGATACATAGTGCTTCGATTTGAGCCCGGGGCAAGGCTCCAGCTTATATTGCATGGCGTGTTGTCGAAAGTAGGGTCGAGAAGCTTGAAAGGGGGGAGGTTGAGGTTCACCAAGCACAAGGCGGCCTCACACTTTTCCTCAGACTCTACAGGTTGAACCAAGCACGAAAGCTGGTTTTGGTGTCAACAAGGAGCAGAACCTTGAGCTGGAACATGCAAGCAAGTCGTTGGACAGCTTGTAATACGAGTGTGTTTTTTATTTGGGAGAGCCCCCCAAATGGTGTTTTTCCTTTGGGTGTCCTTTACAACCACAAACGGGGGTCTCAAAAAAGGCATGGTTCACATCTCTCAATTCTCTCGCTTTCGAGTTTGCCAGGGGCTCACAGCTGGCGGCACGAGCGGGGATGGGGTTTGGTCAATCGCTTCGGCCCTCAAATACAAGGGCAGCTTTTCCCATGTGGGTGTGGCTCAAAATTAACCAGGAGGGGCAAACCGCAGGTTTTGGTCCATGTTTCCACTTACCAGGGCTCCATTTTGGTACCGGCTTTTTGAGCCACGGCCATGTGGTTGAACTGTCATTTGTTTGGTGGTTTTCCAACCAATGGTCATCGGAGAGGACCGTTTGGTCAAAATGTCAGATACTGTTGGTTTTATTCTGGTGCATGAATGTTGCCAACCAACCAGTTTGGCTGTGGGTCAAACTCCTTTTAAAGGGTTTGGCGTAACAAGGGAAACCCAGCTTGAATATAATGTGTTTTAATGCAACTTATTGAGGTGAATTCTCTGCAACAGAAACCCGGAAAAAATGCTTTGGCTTAGGGATTGGGCTACGTGTTTGGGACAAAATCATTTCACCACCAGTAATCCGGGAAAAAAGATTCAAAGGACGAAGGCACATTCAGGTTTTCAGCATCCCAGCTGCTGCGTATTTTCTCGCCAAGCGTCTTTGAATTTCAGCCAGGCGATTCACAACGCATTTTGGATCGATTGAGGGCTCAACATGTTCAAGCTCTGCGTCCAGATCAATCAATCTTCCATCTAGCAGCTGCCATTTGCTACATGCTGGTCTTCCTTCAGCAGCAAACAACCACAACTCTGTTGTTGATTTGCATCGGCCACCACAGCAGGCAACGCGCGTGAGGCAACAACCACAAGAGGAAGCCTTGATTGGACAGAGCCAGAGTTGCCAAAGACCTTGGACGTTGCGTCACCGATGCAAGCTATCTCTCAAGTAAGCCTTCAGCAACTTTCGCCAAGGGTTGGTTCGGTGTTTCGGCCAACACATAGGTTCCCGTGCCGCCGGCAGCAACGGCACTGGTTTCTGGAAGCGGAGGGAAGCTAAAGCCCGCCGAAATCCCTGCGAAGCAATCAAGGCCAGGATCCCAAACCCCAGACCAGCGAACTTTCACCAGGTGTGTTTTGTGTTAAAGCTTGTTTTGGAGATCCAAGCCAAGGAGTAAGCACCGCTTCAAAGCACTTCAACAGATCTCGGATTGCGGGTCATGACTGAGGATTCGCAGGAGTCTTGTTTTTGAATAGATCCTGGAGCCACCAGAAAGAGGTTGCTCGCAGCTTGCAGCCATGCTGCAAGATGGACGATTTAACATTCTCAGGCTGTGATACACACACATACGACATACATATTATATATGTATATATGCTATGCTCCCCCCCCCCCCCCCCAAGATCCACCTTTGGGTTGTTTTGAGTATATTTTGGTGTCCAAAATCCTTTTTGGGTGTGAATTATATATATATATATATATGTATATAATCCCTTTTGAATGCAGGACGCTGTGAGCGCGCTTTTTTCACTTTTTGAGTGGAAACTCGAGTTGAACTATGTTTGCATAAGGTGTGTTTAAATGTCAGCTGAATTGTAAAGAAATTTGATTGGACAGAACATACTGTGTAAAGTATCAATTAAACTAGAATTATTCTAATTCAAATTCTATTACGAAATAGAAGTTGGGATTGGATTCATTCCTTATCAAAATAAGTTTAACCTCTAATGTAAAATTGTCATGTTCTATTGGGCAAGGATTTACATCTAAATTCTAAATGTAAGATGTAACTTTGAGTAGGATTCTGATCAAGTATGTCCTTATTGAGGAGATGTGAATTGAGTACGAAAAACGCTACAAAACACTGTGTTTTACGGGGTTTTCTGACCATGGTAGTTCTGGGGCTAGTACACACAAAAACACAATGTCTGACCTCTGAATTCTCCCCACTTCTGAAATCTACTTAATATCTTCCCAATGTCTGACTGAAATTATCTAGAAATTATTAAGGAAAGACTCCAATCAAATTGTATATGTTAAATGATATTGTAAATTATGATTAATATAGTTCAACGTAAATGTTACACGGGAATTCCTTTTCCAATAGAATTGTCCTTACACGTTGCATGGCAAAGAGCCTGAGACCTACAAATGATTGTTTTTTTTTTTTGGGGGGGGGGGGCAGTACATCACTTTTGGCTCTCCAAAGCAAACAAATAGGGACAGTACAGCACTTTGGAGCACCCTGACCTCAAAAGTGCTGTGCTGTCCCTATTCTTTCGGCCAAATACATGTGTATTGCCCCAACGTCCCCCGACGGCCCGTTTGCAGCCAGCCATGTACACTTTTTTGGCTGGAAAAACATGGAACCCTAAAATTCAATGAACCTAAACCCTAAACCTAAACCCTAAACCCTAAAACCCTAAAATCCTAAAATCCTAAAATCCTAAAACCCAAACCTAAACCCTAAAATCCTAAAACCCTAAACCTAAACCCTAAACCCTAAACTTAAACCCTAAAATCCTAAACCTAAACCCTAAAATCCTAAAACCCTAAACCTAAACCTAAACCCTAAACCTAAACCCTAAAATCCAATAAACCTAAACCTAAACCCTAAAATCCAACAACCCTAAACCCTAAAATCCAAAAACCCTAAACCTAAGCCCTTAAATCCTAAACCTAAACCCTAAAACCCTAAACCTAAACCTCAACCCTAAACCTAAACCCTAAAATCCAATAAACCTAAACCTGAGGGGCGGAACGCATGTATTGGGGGTATTCTTTGCTTTCCCTAAAACCCCTAAAAAACAATTATTTCAGAGCCTTGCAGGGCCAAGAGCCTGAGCCCTTCAAATATGTTTTGTTTTGTTTTAGGTTTTTTAGGGACAGTGCAGCACTTTTGGCTCTCCAAAGCAAACAAATAGGGACAGTACCGCACTTTGGAGCACCCTGACCTCAAAAGTGCTGTGCTGTCCCTATTTTTTGCTTTCCCTAAAACCCATAAAAACGTTTTGCTTTTCATCTGCTTCAAACAGTTGAAAACTGCTCAAAACACTGTAAATTTCAGTGTTTTGGCAGTGTTTTAGCTGTGTCCAAAGCTGGGGGTGGATCTTGGGGGGGCGACCTATATATATATATATATATGTATACACATATTTGCGTGTTCCGGTCGCCCGTCGTCCCCAGCCCCCCCTCCCCATGGTATGGGTCGATCCAATTGACCATGGACCCCCCTACCCCCCCACCCATCGGTCACACTGTCCTTCTTGACTGCGCATGACCATTTTGGGGGTGTGGGAGTGGGGGGGGCCAAGGAAGACTGGATCATATATTGACACATACATATGCACGTATGTGTAGACAGATACACGTTGGACACTTTCGGCTTCCAGTCAGCCTCCAGTTGGCGGTTTCCTGGCAGGCCTGGCAATTTAGAGCGGCTTCATTGCTGCAAGCTGCAGGTTGGGAGCTGTGTCGTGTCCGTTGGATTTGTGGGAAGTCCGTGGTTGTTTGCTTGCTTTCTTCCTTCCTTCCTTCCTTGCTTGTTTGTTCCCCAAACAGCGAAGCATTGGGGTTCTAACTTGAGGTTTAAAGAATTGGGATCCAGGGTCGTGTTGTTCCTTGTTTGTTTGTTTGTTTGTTTGTTTGTTTGTTTGTTTGATTGTTCGCTTGGTTGCTTGTTTGTGTGTTTGTCGGTTGTTGACAGTTCTTTCTCCGCTGCCCCCAAAGCAATGGGAGGAAGAGCCCTTGTGCTCTCCTGTTTGCGAGCCTAAAGCAGCTCAACCAACCACTGTGCCACAAGGAAGCAAACAACAAAGACAGTTTCCTGCAGTGCATGTGTTTCATCGCGTGGCAGGCGCTTCCTTCGAAGTTGCTGGACGCAGAGTGGACTCCAGGCAGATGCGTGGGCAAGTTTTTTTCCTGCTCCCCTAAATTCAGACCACGCCCTTCTGGGAAGCGTCAAGGCTGCCAAGCTCACGGCAGATGTCATGAGGATGACGCTTGCCAAGCTAGAGGGAACCAAGTTGAAGTAGCTGAAGCGGAAGTTTAATATTCACACCATATTACGTAAAATTGTCGTGCTGCGGCACTCATGATAAGCCAACAACCCAACCTTTTCAGGTAGCTGTCCTAAGTGAGTTTGCTAGCACACCAAGAGGATTCAATGGCAGCTGAGAAGCGCAGGCCAAGCTTCACAGGAGAA